GTTTACGAACCTATCTTCACTGATGGAACAATAACTTTCTGGATCACTGCTTTTTCCCATAAATATCCAGAAGGAAATTTCAGCAGGATGGTGCACCTGCTCATTACAGATGTTTTCAAAGAGTTTTTAGATAGAAAATTATAAAGTCGATAGCCTGGTTAAACGAGATCCCTAATTTTGACGGCTAAGTCCCTTGATACCACAACCCGAGAGTCTTTTGGTTTGAGGCCAGGTTACAAACGTGAGTTGCAGAGAAAAAAAATCAAAAACACTTCTGGATTTTAAGAAGTTCATTAAAGACAATTCTGGTTCGTTAACACCTGCAAAGTGTTACTATTTATGAATATTGCAAACTTGCTTTAAAAATGGGGCCTCTTCTCTTAAGAAATATTCATTTTACTTACGATTTGATTTGCTATAAAATATTTTATTTTATATGTTATCGTACTTTACATTTATTTGAAGTTTCGAATATGAGTTTATTTATATGCCTTCTCTCTCTCCTTTCCTCTCTCTCTCAAACACACACAACGTCCTGGTTATGACGATAACCTACATCTGGCAGCAAGGCGGTTTTAGGAGGTTTTAAGAAGCGTATAAATTCCTCTTTGGAGTAGTTTCTAACACGTTTCTTTATCATCTCTCAGTTGCATCTCTGTCTTTGGACAGAGTGCGCTCAGGGGATTCTCTGTCAAAGGACAGAGGGGCAACTGTGGGCAATTTTTGTCCCTTGCCCGGGTGTACGCGCTCGGGTCCCCATCTAAAAAAAGACCTTGTGTCTCACCTCGTCCTAGTCGGGGGAACGAGTAAATACCACGTGGAACCACCTTCTGATTGCTCTTGTTCCCAGGTCCGCTCTGACCCGTGGTGGTAGCACCTGTTAGGATCCCAGCTATGGGCAAATATTTAATCCCCAAACTGGTGTCAAAACACTATGAAAGTATAAAAATACATATTTATAGTAAAAACACCAGCAATAGTAAAAATATTACCAAAATACATTTTTGTAAAAGAAATTATTAATGCTTCCCAAAAAATTAAATTTCGTCATTTAATGATAAACAAACACAGACATGTTAGATAAGTGTAGAAAAATTTACTACGAGAATAAATGTTAAGAAATAGCTTAATGTTAAGATTTGTTATGATTTTTATGTCAACCGGGCTGGATTTACAACGGCGTGGCTAAAATATCAATATAAAATGAATAGTTATATATCATACTATCGATTAAATAAGACAGATGTACACATATATTTTAGTCCCTTTATTTTACATGTTAAATCATATTGTACTCTTTAATGTTGAAATCTGTACAGTGCCCACCGAGAGGATAGAAATCATTATTTAGCAGCAATAGATAACCTGTTAATCCTACTAACTATTTCTACACGCTGAAGCGACATTCCAATATAATGATTTTCCAAGCGTAGCTTGAATGTGGCACAAGGCCGAAAGTAAGGGGAACCCAGTGAGGATCAAACTCACTACTCAGTCGTAATTGTTCTAGCGGGAGATGCTCGCTAACCATTACACCACCTCGAGGTGCCCTAAAGCGCCACTCCAATATATATAACTATACATGTGAAGCACACACATAGACACACACTTATTTAAAATATTTTCTGTTTATACCTTATTTTAACAGATACAATTTATTTAAGTAAATGCTTTGTTCTTTTAAATTAAACAGTATTAATTAAATTCACCAGGATGTCAGAGGACGCATATTTTCTACGAAATTTCACAAACATTCAGGCCGGTAAATGCAATTAATACTGTGCATTTAAAAAAAACAGAGCATTTATTTAAATAAATTGTATCTATTAAAATAAGTTAAAAACAGAAAATATATATTTTTCAGGCATAATCCATTTCATAATCCATATCCATATCATATATATATATATATATATATATATATATATATATGTATAATTATTTATTTAAAAAATTATAACATAAATATGTTATAAAATAGCCATTTTGTTTCAACACTTCCGGTGTCTGATCAAGTGATGATGTTGAATGTAAAATAAATGGTTTTAAAAGTTTCAAATTAATTAACGATCCTTCGCAAGGGGAAAACGTTGTTACAAAAGTTAGAATGACCAATCAAAATAAAAGTATAGGAAAATTCAAAAGGCTTGATAACGAAGTCATGTTATAATAGCTATTCAGATCTTTAAAATAGGGGTAATATTAAAAAAAAAATTATTCTAACTAATAATTATTAAATTATATGATAAAATTTGATATTAAAATTAAAAGTAAAAATTACCAATTTTAAAATCCAAATTTAATCACTATTAAGTTTAAAATTATAAAATTGCTGAGGAGAAAAGAAAAAATACATATGTTATTCAATTTATTTCTTCATTGAAATTACGTTAGAATAGACGCTTATCTGTCATCCGGTCCTCTGACAAGTTGTTGTGATTTTATAACATATTTATGTTATAATTTTTTAAATAAATAATGATATCTGCTCTACTCTGTATTGAGCACTCTTTTAAGAATAGTAATTGTTGGTTATTGGAATTCATTCCGTATACACCAATTATATACTTGTATATATATATATATATATATATATATATATATATATATGTGTGTGTGTGTGAAAAATATATATTCAGACATAATGATGTTGATTGCATATAAAACTCCTTCTTATCTAATTTTGCTATTCACCATTAGCACATTACCCATAGGAGACGAAGGGAACATTTACGTGTGGATCAGTAGTTCTGTTTCTCTTATATTGGAAAATGTTGCAGCCACACGTCTAATTAAAAGCACTGTCTTTCTAAATACGACATAATTCCGTGACAATCAATTTAAGATAACAAACGTCACATACTGTACAACTTGTCAAAGACAGGCCATTAACATTTTTTAGTCCATGTACGATTTTCGTCTTGATTCCGTTTACCTGTTTCTAATTCCAAGATTGGCTACAACTACAAATTTCATTTTCTAAAAAAGATTGAATCTACAGTATTTACATTTTTCGGACTATTGTCCTCATCTTTGTCGCCATGTTTATCACAACGTTTCGGCCGTTGTGCGCTCCGGCCTTCTTCAGGTGGTCGGAATGTCGAACTGAATTCTTTATTTCGCTCACTGGGGTAGACTGTTCTAGTTTCACGTGCTATGTCTAATGGATGTCAGTTATCAGTTATCTCCTCCTCTCGAGGTTCTCCATTGCCATAACCGGGTATTGAACTCACACTCTTTGGGTCATGTCACTGGATCTAACTAACGCACTGTGCCATGTGCCGCCAAGGACACATGGAACAGTGGAAAAAGGCGTTGGTATAAACTTTAATATCACCTATCCAATTCATTCTACAACCTATAAGCAGCTACTTTACCCCTACACTCGCACTACCATAATAGTTCACAGGGCAGACATCTCCTACCCAACCAGCATTTTTTTGCAGAAAATATTGTTACTATTTGAGTTACCGATTGATATTCTTATCTGTGTCGCTTAAATTACTTTGTATATCTTTTTCAGCCATTCTCAGTGTTGTTGTAAATGTCCTCTGTAGTACCTTTTTTATTTTCTCATTTAAAACACCACTGTCATATACTTCAGAGTTTGTTTCCATCTTCCTTAAGCTAATGACAGTCTCGCGACTAATACGCCGTCATTCTTTACACGTAACCTGTCCCTTCCACATTTCTTGTCCTAACTATAACGCCATCCTCTACACAAACATCAATCCTTCCCTTAGCACCATTGGCACCGACTCTACTACACATCATTCTCACTCTAGTATTACGACCGCTCTCCCCAGGAAGAAGAAAACATCACATTTACTGTAAGCTCTACAGTACTTCTACACTTTCACTCTACTCTCTGTTCTTATCCTCTACGCATATAGCGTAATCTCCTATGACTCTCTATACCAGTGGTTCTCAAATGGTGCGCCTGGGCGCAATGTTGCGCCTCGGATGATGTCTAGATGTGCCCTGGCATTCCAGAGAAATATGCATCCAGATATAAGAAATAAATATACGTACTTTATTATATTTTGGTACCCGCCTCGATCATATTTATTTGAATTAGGCTTGTCTGCTCTCACCACAATTAAGTGCAAAAAGAGAGGAACTCTTCAATGTATTGACAAGGATATGAGAGTTTGCCTATCAAATATACACCCAAACATTAAAGAAAATCGCTAAGACTCATCAGGCTCATGTTTCTCATAAACACAAGAATGAATAAAATTATGGAATGTTTCATTTTATATTTTTTTTTATTTCATTATTTCTTCCCTATAATATTTGACTTCATTATAACATATTTTTCCGAAGTTTGTATATAGCGCGTCTACAATTATTTGTAGGATTTCAAGGGCGTCCCGACTTCAAAAAGTTGGAGCTCTATACAATAAGTGTAACCTTCTACCTTTACACAATGAGCATAATGTTGCGTTCTGTGTCCTTTCTGGGTCCCGACACTGCTACAAAAAAAGATATCAAGGAAAATTACCATTTCTTTTTCTTATTTGTTTAATTAGGAGAGAGTGGTATCAGTTTGGATTCTTAGCGTCAGTGATTGGAATGACTTTCCGGGAACGCATGTCGCACGTTAGCTCAGCGTCCGCTAGCCTGGGTTGTGACGGCGTATCGACGATTCAGAATTCTTGCGACTCTCCGTTGAGTTCGCGCAGTTTTGAACTTATATCCAACCCCAGACAAAGACAATCCATCACTGTCAGAATACTACGCTCAGGAGGCTCTTCGGCCAATTACTGACCATTCTGATCCTGTCCGTCGCATTCTGTAACAGTAAGTTTTTACCTTTATACAATGAGCATAACGTTCTACCTTTACTCGATGAGCGTAACCTCCAACCTTTACACAATGAGCGTATTCTTCTAACTTTACCACCTCTCTGCAATCAGCGTAACCTCACAAGACCACTCACAACACATGTCTACATAATCAGTGTAACCTCACAGCACCAACCACCTCTACACAATCAGCGCAACCACTTACCTATACAGAGCGTAACTTCTTACATCCACCCACCCTGTGTAAACTCCTACCACTACCCACCTCTACGCAACCAACGTATACTGCTACCATCATCCACCGATACCACCAGCCACCTCTATGCAGTCAATGTAATCTCCCGCCTCTACCCACCGAGTGTAACCTCATGCCACCACCACCTCTGCATAACCAGTGTATACTACTACCACCAACAACCACCTCTATACAATCAACGTACCTCCCACCGCCTCTATACAACAAGCGTGTTCTCATAGCATCATCCACCTCTACACAAACACCACAATCTCCAGTACTTATTCCGCTATCTTTGCACGACCGGCATCAGCGCTTCGATTTTTCGGTATGTTTTCTTCGTTGCCAACATCAACATTCATTTCTGTGATGCCAATGTTACCGAAGTCAAGCATTATTGATTTTCTACAGATGCGAATAACGCACCTGCATACGACACTTTCCATTCACAGCGACCATATTGTGATGACAGACATTACATTGATTACTTCGAATACAAATATTTTCGGTTAAAATACACTTCTTATTTATCTCATAGAGTCAAAACGTGAGTCATGCAATCATGTTAGGTCGTTTGCTTGTTATATACGTGATTAAGAGTCACCGTTAGAAAAAAAAAAACAACAAAAAAATTCTCTATCCAACCGCTTGTAATCGCAGTTGGGTAACCTATGCAATCGGTGTTTATCAAATGCTCTACTCCATCCATTAACTGCTACAGAATTATCATTGTATATATGGATATATGCTGAAGACACCATAGTTTACCGAAGCAGATAGTAAATGAGTATGTTCAGTGTGGCCATGCTCTAACAGCTCAATAAAAAAATAACTTGCTTCTAACGTTCAATAAGTTTAAAACAAAGGTAGTATCATTTCATCATGTCCAATCAAACAATGAGCTTTCTAACAATTTCACTGAACAAAGAAGATTTGAATACCTGTTGGAACAAGTTCACTCCAGAGCTGAAATGGAACATATATACGATCCATCGCTAAAGGTGCTGGAGAAATGATTGGTTCTTTGTACCGCTCCAGAAAGTACCGGACTCCTCCTGCCATGCAAGAGAGATTAGGTTTAAAAGTGAGCATTTTCCCATGACAGGGCTGGAGATGTGATAGCACGAAGTCACAAGTCATCGTGACCGAGTCTTTGAGATTAAAAAAAAAAAGATCACGCCAGATTATGTACTCTCTCGCAGAATCTATAACTAAAGCTCTCTCAGCTCAATTGCAGTATAAGCCACAGGTGGGTTGAGTGTGCGTCTGTGATAGAGATTTGCTAGCCGAATTGAGAGACGGGTATAACCGGAAACAGTAACCGGTCATTATATGTCATGTGTGTGTGTATGTGATTGATCCCGAAACTCTGGATCGCAGTATTATTTAAATGTTAATTACCTAATAATTCACGTTATTGTCTATATCAATTAAAAGAGAAAAAAAAACACTTTAATCTGTATTTACTTTAGACTCTTTATGACTATAATTAGCCTGTAGCGGTATGGATGGCGTAAATCAACCAGCACATTTTTTACTTTACGAATGTGTAAGCAAACGAAAAGCAAACAAGAGAAAGAACACAAGAATATAACTTTTCATAACAGGTGCAATATTTATATATATGTCAACGGTTTTACATGAATTGTTATTTCCTTTTGACTGAATTAAAGTATTTACTACTGAAATATTTTTCACAAAAAGTTGAATTAACTTGTCGCTCAAAATGTTCACTGAAAGAGAGTTTAAAGAATACTGTAAAGCTGAAAATATGTTGATAAACTTTTAGCTTTAAAGAAGTTGGAGAAGTGAATGTTCTGTTACGTTTAATTTGTTTTTGTTGCTCGTAGTTGATTGTATTGTTCGTGATGTTTGTAATTAACTTTCGTAAGATTCAATAATGTGTTTGAATATTTTTTAGTAAGTTCCAGAAGAAGTTGGTGAGTGAGTTGATGAGTTGAAATTTTAGCTTGAATTTCAGTGAAGTTATTTCATATTAAAGAACCTGAGATTCTAACTTTGTACTTCGCTGCAGTAATGATACAAGAGTCGCGAACTCGTTTAGCAAATGCTAATCGTTGTAAATTCTCACTGACTGGGTTCGTTCGTACATTCATTTTATATGTTTTTGGTCAGGTGACTGGCTCCAAAAGCATTGTTTTTTCATCAGGTCAAAAACTAGCTTGATGTTATTCGGGCGTGGTGGTGAACAGGTAAATTGTATTTTTAATATTTGTTAACCACTCAGAAAGCGTCTTACAAAATTCAGTCTGAAGCCTGATATGTTTTGTTTTGCTTTCCGTGAACTATGTACGTGAATATACACGAGACAATTTTAATATTTATTGTCCAATGAGAAGTTAAAGTTTTCTGAAAATATGTATGAAGCTGTGATCCGCTTTTTGCACAAAAATCGACATTGATGAAGAAGTGGTAACGGAATGCTAAAAGCCTACATAAATTGAATTTTTAAATCAATATTGTGCTGTCCACAGATTAAATGGTGCCGTTGTATGCACACCCTTATTCAAATTAATTGAAAAAACCGCTTTAGTTTCCTTTCTTTCACCATACGCTTCAGTTTTAGACCCACTGGAATGACAGGGTGTAATCGATTTCTATTTTTTCTTCAGATTAGGTCATTTGCAGTGGTGTGCAGAAATATGAAACTATTTTCGGGGGGGGGGGTGAGGAAATTTATTTGGCCTTGAAAAATATTGAGTCATCTCTGATTGTATCAGATTTTTTATCACGCCTGTCGATTAGTTGTCTTACGGCCATTGTCTGCGATGGACGTTACTCCAAGGAAGCGTATGAAAATTAAAACACTGCAAGCCTTACCAGTGAGCAAATCAAAGTACTACAGACTGGCACGTAAACTCTCCAATCAATAGAGAATCTGGGACAATCTACAAGGAACGACTTCGTGGAATGGACATACAAAGTACTAACAGGTGCACTGGGTCATGTTTCACTGGAAAAATATGAAAAGTACATAATAACAGTATTATTCGTTTAGTTTTAATTAATTTGCACCAGGGTGTATATCATGATAACATCTTTGTGGTCGAAACTTGGCAAATTGTCCTGAGATTTTTTCTTTAAATGCTTCAAATTGTATTATGCCGATCTATATCTCTCACACATATATAAATACATACACAAATACAAATCACATACAACGACAAGCATTCATTGGTTAATTAATCACCACTACGTTATTATAGACAATTTACAAATCGCAGCAATGCGACAATTTTGTAGTCAGTTTTGTGCACTTTTGGGAGAAACGGATCCCAGAAGCTTTCTTAAGTCTCCCCAAAACTCGCTCGCTGATTGATCAATGCCAACCAATCAGATCGTCCGGACGTGAAGAGTAACTTTTCCCGCGCAGCGGTCTGGAGCCTATAGTCACTTATTTAAGCAAGAATTTTTCTTAGCTAATCAGTGAGAATTCAGCTGCCAAACGAATCCACGACAGTTGAAACCATGCGCCAACCTTCTCACACGCACACACAATCACTCACATGCTGAACATAATTTGTATACACTCAGATAATCTTTTCTTACACAGCAAAATATTCTGAGAACAGTCATTATAAGAAACTCTCATAAACATTCTTCCAGTGAACTTTGAAATACTAAAATTACAGTTAAAGAGAGATAACTCTTGTTTTATTCAACCTTTTATTACTTAAATGCATGCTTTGTTTGAAATTGTACATCTTTTTAAATACATATTTTATGTGTAATGATGTCTTTTGCTTATCATTTTCCATGTCAGTTTTGTTTCCTTATCTAAAGTTAAATTAGTGTGGTGAAGTCAGCCACAGTATGTTTGTGTTTTAAAAAAAGTTGAAAAGAATCAACGTTGAAAGAGAAAGAATTGAACACATTAATAATTTTTGCTTAAAATAAGAATAGAATTAAAGTAGTGATGTCTTTATGCTGCATAAAATATTCCATTTCATAATTTCATATTCATGAATAAATGGATGACGGAACAAGGTTACGGAGAAATAAGAAAGAGAAAATTTATTAAGAGTACAAAAGACAAGATATTGTGTAGAGCGATGATCGCAAACATTCTGAAGGCTACATAGAAGAAGTGTCTATATAATACTCGACTCCTGCTGATTAGATATTTTACATTATTCGGACTATTGTCCTCATCTTTGTTGCCATATTTATTACAACGTTTCGGCCGTTGTACGCTCCGGTCTTCTTCAGGTGGTTGGAATGTCGATCTGAACTCTTTATTTCGCTCACTGGGGTAAACTGTTCTAGTTCATGTTGTGTGTACGTATTCTTTAAACTGTAATAATTATATTCCAAGACAAAACATTTCAAAACATGAATAGTTTTGTGATTAGATCATTTGAAATGTTGTGTGATGCCAATCTTCAAAATGTGAAGGACATGCCTGCTATGAAAATCAGCATTTGAAATCTTGAAAGAAGAGGCCAAAGGAAAACATTGTGCCAGTAGGATGTATGCACTTGCTGCAACACAGCGGCAGGAGAAATCAGATTTCTTATTTAATAGAAAAGCGGCCTTCATTGCGTGTGTAATTGACAGCGCCTCAGTGTTTAAAAAATCACGGCTTATTTCAGCAAATATCAAAACAATTGACACGAATGCATTAAGAGATGGCGATATTCCAGGATGATAGAATCTGTTCACATCGCTACCCCATTATGGAAAGTTTGACACAGGGACATTATTAACGGGTAGACCCGCATGTGTAATGCACGTGATAGCATAAATTGTATAGTTTCTTTTGGGGATGTCTCAGATATCAGAGACTGGACTTGGAACAAGTTTCCTTAGGTACCTCAGATATCAAAGATTGAATCTGGACCACTTCCCTTCAGTGTCTCAGATATCCGAGATCGAACTTGGACCACTTCCCTTAAGTGTCTCACATATCGGAGATCGAACTTGGACCACTTCCCTTAAGTGTCTCACATATCGGAGATCGAACTTGGACCACTTCCCTTAAGTGTCTCAGATATCCGAGATCGAACTTGGACTACTTCCCTTAAGTGTCTCAGATATCGGAGATTGAAGTTGGATAAATTTTTTAAGACAACCTGGTTTGAGAGAACGATCCCTGGAACTTGTCTTTGGTTAACCTCCGCGTAGTAACCAGTAAAAACTATTTCAAGATGATATAAGCCATTAAAGAAGCCTGGTCTAGATAGCATAGACACTGCTGTATAAAACTAATTGAAGATAGGAAACATTCTATTAAGCTTTGGTTAGAAAGTTCAATTCTTACCAAGTTTCTATAGCCTTATGCGAAACTATATATATTCTCAATATTTATCAACAAAACAATCGGTAGTAAAAGGATGAGGAAAAGAAGCG